CGTGATCTCATTTGCTTTTAATACTTTCAAGGGAGGTTTTAATTTTCTGTATCACAGTCTTCATCTCTAACAATTCCATTTGATTCTTTTTTTATGGTGTCTGTTTCTTTTCTCAAATTGTGAAAGGACTTCCTCATCTCCTAGAGCTTGTTGTCTCTTTCCTCTTGCACCTCCTTTAGTTTTGTCACTATAAATATTCTCAGTTGTTTATCTGACATTTCCATGAATTCCATTGTGTTGTCTGTGGGTAATGAGGAACTGATGTTTTCCCTTGGGAGAGAGAGACGTTTTCTTGGTTGCTCATACCTCTTGTGTCTCCACGATGGTTTCTAGTCATCTGGTGACTTATACATTCCTTCCTAAATTCCTTGAGTTAATTCTGAGCATTCAGAGACATGCAGAGACATGCAGGAGTAGGTGATTAGCAATCTCACTGCTGCTCTATTTCCCTAATACTCACCAGGAACTGCATTATTGTCACTGGTCTGGATAATTCAAAGTCCTCCCAGTTTCTAAAGAACAAGTGTGGCTGAGACAGCGCTTCTGAGCTTTAATTGAGGAAGATAGAAGGGATCTATCCAGGCACTTCAGTAAACACTGACGTCTTAGAATTCATAAGCATGTGGCAAGGGATAAGCTACAGTCTCTTTGCAGTTCAGTCTCCCTGCGCTACAACAGCCGGGGTGGGAGAGGGGTATAGGGTCTCCTCAAAGTTTCAAGCAACACACCTGAGAGTTCATAGGCAAGTGGGGGAGGGGATGAACCACAGGTCTCTACTGCACAGACTTCCAGCCACAAATAGCCTGCCGTATAGCAAGGCCCTTTGCTGGAATGGATTTCCAGATTGGACAGGGAGGACCACAAAGTCTTCTCAAAGTCCTAATCAACACACCTGAGCGTTTAAAGGTGAGTGATAGTGGGAATGAGCCATTACCACATCTGCTGGTCCCTTAATTTCATTTTTTAATTAATAACATCTTTTTTTAAGAGAGATTTTTGCTATAGGGTGCACGCACTTGCTGAGAGATAGACAGAAAGTGAGAAAGTACCTGTGGGATAGCCATGCTGTAGTCCCTACTCCTCCATTTTCTTCTTTGGATATTGGGAATGTGCATCTGGCATGAGTTTTAAGCTGTTGGGTCCAGGACTTGTACCATGGTTAGCCACTTGGGAGTCCAGCGACATAATCATTACACCATCTGCTGGTCCCAGTAATAACATCTTTGTGTGGTTTTGATACCAAAAGCATAAAACAAGATACATTAAGGGAACTCTATCTTCCATTCCTGTCCCATTCACCCCTCTTTCTTCATAGTAACCCTTTTAATTAGTTTTTAGATTATCCTTTTTCATTTTTTACATTAGATGTTTAAAATATAAATATATTTGTATACAAATATATTTATATTTCCTCCACCTTCTCTTAGATAAACCATAGCCTACTGTTGTATACTTTTCATATATCACTTAAAGGCCTATCCTGGAGACCCTGCTGCAGTGGTGTAGCCTGCTAAGGCACTGCTCTGCAGGCTGGGTAGGACCTCATGTGAGGCCCATATTTGATTCTCTATTCAATCTAAAGGCCAGGTATGATGGTGTGCACCTATAATCCCAGCAACTTGGGGAAGCTGAAACAGGAGGATCACGACAATCTCAAGGCTGGCCTGGGCACCATATTGAGATCCTGCCTGAAAAAAAGCAGAGTGTGGTGTCACATGCATGTAGTCCCATCTAGGAGTCTGAGGCGAAAAGATTGTGACATAGCAAGACCTTGTCTTAAGTAAATATCTATGCTGGAGATGACTGCACAGCCCTTCAGAAGGGCTTTCTAAAATATAAATTTGTTCATGTCTTTCTTGGTTTTTTTTTTTTCTTTTTCTTTTTTCGGAGAGGTTTTTGCTGTACGGTGCATGCACTCACCAGAAAGACAGAGACAGAGAGACAGAAAGCAAGAAATCACCCCCCCCCCCAGGGGGGATGGCCATGCCACAATCCCTTCTCCTCCATTCTCTTCTTGGGATCTTGGGCACACATGCACACACACCCGGCGTGAGTTTAAGCAGCTGGGTCCGGGACTCGAACTGAGGTCAACCACATAGGAGTCCAGCGACATAGCCATTACTCTAACTGCTGGTCCCTCTTTCTTGTTCTTGAAATCATTCAGTGGTACCTCACCTCTCTGGGATAGATTCAGACCTTAGAAGCCTTTCAGGATCTGGCTTCTGTTTACCTAGCCAGTCCCTTTTCTTCCTGTGACCTCCCCAGCACACTTGTACCTGTATGTGAACATGTACTTGCATGCACACCTACAATGATTCTGACTGCCATATTGAAGTTTTTTAGCTTTTGAAGTTTATTAAAATTGACTACTCTTTTGAATTGCTTTTATTTATTTTTAAGTGTATATTATTTCTTTCATGACAGAGAGCATGTGTACATACACATGCGTGAAAGAGGGAGGCGGGTAGGCATGCAAATTACATTGCCTTGTCACACCATAGTCCCCTTCCCCCAGCCCTCCAGCTAATCAGGGTCTTGAAGAAGTGTGTGCCTGGCATGTTTCAAGTTGACTCAAGATCCAAACTTGCAGTTGGACATGTGACTTAGTACTGCAGATCAGTATGCTACTGCCTGTAGTTCTAGGCTGGGCCTGAATTGCTTTTTTTTAGAATTATTTATTTCATTTTATTAATTATTATTACTATTTTATTATTTGACTGGAAAGAGAAAGTGAGAAAGCAAGCTGCCATGACCAGGACTCAAACTGTGGTCAGCCACATGGGAGTCCAGTACCCCAGCCACCACACCACCAGCCAGCCTCCTGAATTGCTTCTGATTCAATGAATTAGTCATGAGGAAACCTCTTTGGTTTTTGCCCATGGTACTCCTAACTTCATAGAAGACTGTTCCTTCTCTCTGCCATCACCCACTCATGTTGTAGACCCTACTGTAAACATTCCTAGAAGCCTTCCCTACTCCTAGAGTCTGAGTTAGGTGTCATTATGTACAATTCAGCTCTGTCTGCTTAAAATTGTTCTTGCATTCACCCTACAGTATTCTTTTTTTTCTTTTACTTTTTTTACATTTAAATTTATTTATTTACATTCATTTGCTATATATCATCACAGCAAACAAATGAAATTTTCCATCAGTCAAGCACATGAACACACATATTATCCTCAACAAACAATTTTTCATTTCCTATTTTCTGTATATTTTATTATTTTTGCCATTCTTGATTCTCTATCTCTCACTATCTGCCGTATCCCACCATCCTCCCACACTGTTTCTGGTATTCATGGTTGCTTTCTATGCCTTTCCCCCCATTTTATTTATTCGCTAAAGAACTTAATCTAAATACTTCCAATAGCAAGCACAGCTGTTATATACATATCCATGAACACGAGTCTGACACTAGGCATAAACCTCAGTGAGTAGAACGAACATACAACAAAGTAGCACCCAGCTGGGATTATATAGCTTACTGCAATCCTTAAATATGCAATTTTTTTAAATTTCATGAAAAAATAGTTTCATGATTATTTTTTCTCCTGAAACTTTTTAAAAATTAACTAATTTACATTCATCCCTAATCATCATCACAGCTTACAAAAAGTGGTTTTCCATCCAGAATATACTGCGTAGTGGCTTAATCATGTATGTTATCATCATCAATAATTTTCCATTTCTAGTTTCTTATTTATATTTACCCCTATGCCTGACTCTCTGCCCTTTCACATGCTTCTCACACTATCTCTGGTGTCTACAGTTGTCTCCCATTCCTTTCCCCCCCACATTTTATTGATCACACAATTTCTTAAATAATCTAACTACGTTCAATAGCAAGTTCGGCTGGTAAATTTGAATTGGTGAGGAAGTTTGCTTAAAGCTAAAAGCCTGGAAACAGGTTAGTATTCTGTTCAAATAGTAGATACATGAACCTATTGACAGCTCAAGAGAGGACAAAAACTCTTAAAACTGGACAACAAAGCCTAGAAGAAAAGCAGCAATGTTTTAGTCAAAAGTCACAGGATGCTATTTCACCAGTTCAGTCTCATGTATTTAATCTACCACGAAGACTGAGAAAATTATGCAGAAATTTGAAACTAATATACAAGAAATACTAGATACCATCAAACGTCCAAACATCTGGATAATTGGCATCCCAGAAGGTGAACAGACTCATAAGGGCATTGATAATCTATTCCATATAATCCTGCAAGAAAACTTTCCAAACCTAAAAAGGCACTCAAAGATCCAACCCCAAGAAATACAAAGGACCCCAAATAGAATCAACCCAAGGAGATTCTTCTCCAAGACACATTATAGCCAGACTGACCAAAACCACAGACAAAGACAAGATACTAAGATTGGCAACAGAGAAATGGCAAGTTACCTACAAAGGACATCCCATCAGGCTAATAACAGACCTCTTGTTGGAAACAGTGCAAGCAAGGAGAGAATGGGAAGATATATTCAAAATGTTAAGGGAAAAGCAATTACAACTGAGACTACTGTACCGGTAGGATTGTCTTTCCTATGGGAAGAAAAGACAAGAACATTCTCAGATAAACAAAACCTGAAAGAATTTACCAGCACCAGACCAGATCTCCAAGAAGTTCTCAAGGGAGTGCTATGTCAGTAAAATTAAATGTAGTCACACAGAAATAAGAGTTCAAAAACCAAGAAGGGAAGGGTGTTCCGCCCAGGCCTTTAGCCAGAGAGGGGCATCACTAGGTGCTCCACCTGAGAGACAGGTTGGCCAGGGCCTGGAGGAAAGGCTAGAGATGAGAAAGTGGCATCAGCCTGTTGATCTCTAGGGATGGTGGTAATGGTTATTGTGGGCAGGATCTGGTGGGCAGAACTGAGCTAAGGAAGAAGAACCTGTCTTCCATGAGGGAGCAGGCACTCAGGCACCATTCACTCACTCATTTCTAGGTGGGGGGGTCTAGGCACCAGGGTCTGGCCCTTCTTAATGTTGCTGGATCTGGGGCTTACAGGATGCTCAGGCTGAGGAGGAGATCAAACAGGAGATGAACACATTGCAGCAGAAGCTGAATGAGCAGCAAAGTGTGCTTCAGCGTATTGCTGCCCCTAACATGAAGGCCATGGAAAAGCTGGAAAGTGTCCGAGACAAGTTCCAGGAGACCTCAGATGGTAAGATCTGCCCTCTAGGCCTAAGATGCAGGCAGGAGGCTGGAGGTACGTCAAGAGCCTGCTATTCATCACAGTAGCTTCTGTTTTTTACATGTACAGCCGTTTTTACTTTAGACCCCCAGGAATCCTAAACAGTGGCAGTTTTCATATCTCTTTTATAGAGTGGGAAACTACTGAGGTTCTGCAGGGTTCAGTGGCATGCCCTGGTAGAACCCAGGGAGGAATTCATGTTTACAAGCTCATGTTTCTTCCCTTATACCATATTCAATGGCACACCCAATGGATCCAGCTCCTTGTGGGACCCTCTTCCTGGGACCCTGTTTTTGTCATTCCACCTATAGGATGTTTCTGCTTTGGACTGTCATTTGTAAGTCATTCTTGCCAGGGTATGGTCCTTAACTCTGGCAGAGCCAGAACACTAGGGGGTTACTTGTGTTTATTCCTGACAGAGTTTGAGGCAGCCCGAAAGCGAGCAAAGAAGGCTAAGCAGGCATTTGAACAGATCAAGAAGGAGCGCTTTGACCGCTTCAATGCTTGCTTCGAATCAGTGGCTACCAACATTGATGAAATCTATAAGGCCCTGTCCCGCAACAGCAGTGCCCAGGTAGGCTAGACATGTTAACCGGCTCATAACATCATCAGTTGTCTTACCTCTAGGCTTCCTGTTTGTGTCTCTGCCCAGACTCAGCTCCAGATTCTGACCTCTTTGCCTTCCCCCAGGCAGGGCCCTGAGAACCCGGAGGAGCCCTACTTGGATGGCATCAACTACAACTGTGTTGCTCCTGGCAAACGCTTCCGGCCTATGGACAACTTGTCAGGGGGAGAAATGTCAGTGGCAGCTCTGGCCCTGCTCTTTGCCATCCATAGGTAAGGCTGCCCCCTGGGGCAGTTGGCAGAGAGACCCAACCAGGGCCACCAGAAGTTCTGGGCCTGTGGATATGATGAGATCTGCAGAGGTGAAGCTGATCTGGTGGAATCTGGATTGCATCCCTGTTTCCATACCTACCGCCATGTATCTGGGCTTGGTTTTTCTTGACCTGTTTTCCCCATCTACCCTCATCCACTCAGCATGTCCTCACTGGCCTTTCCGTGTGTTCAGTCCCACCTCCAGGCTTTTGCTCATGTGGTTGCTGGCTAAAAAACTTTCTAGGGAACCAGCAGTTAGCATAATGGCTATGTCGCTGGACTCCCACGTAGTCGACCGTGGTTCGTGTCCCGGACCCGGTGGCTTAAAACTCACACTGGGCGCGTGTGCGTGCGTGCCCAAGATCCCAAGAGGAGAATGGAGGAGAAGGGATTGCGGCGTGACCATCCCCCCTGGGGGATGATTTCTCGCTTTCTGTCTCTATGTCTCTCTCTGTCTGTCTGGCGAGCGCACGCGCCCTACAGTGAAAATCTCTCCAAAAAAAAACCTCTTTCTATGCAAATCTAGCTTGACTGTCATCTTCCACCCTTTTACACCTCATTCTCCATTCTTCCTCGAGGAAGCCCTCTTTGACCACTGTGGCACTTGAGTCTGACTCCCACAATTAAGTGCTTAGTTGTATGTCACCATCCCTTCAGCATATGGAGTGCTTTTCTATACCAGACCCTGTGTTGGGACTGGGGACACAGATGAATTAAATGTGGTTTCTGACCTTGAGGAGCTCAGTGTAGTGGAAGCCAGGCACATAAACAGTGTGCTAAATGTTGTAACTGAGTCAGCATGGGTGGCTGTGGAGGGACACCCAACCCAATCCAGGGGAGGGAATGGGTGGACAGACTAGGGAGACTTTAAAATGCAGGTGACACTTGAGCAAGGGGATATAAAGGATGAGTAGTTTTCCATGGAGACCAGTGGACACTCTAGGCTTAGGGTGCAGCCTGTGCAGAGCCAAGGAGGAATGGCAGAGTGTGATATCTAGGGGATAGGGTGGACTACTGGGTAGTTTGGTCCATATGGCTAGAGCCTAGGATAGCTTTGTCTCCCTAGCCAGCCTAGAAACTCCTGAGAGGAAGTGGGGCACAGGGCTGGGTGTGGAGGTGGGCACTATTGATACATTGACTTCTTTTTTTAAAAAAGAATTATTTGAATTTAACTTTAAAAAAAAATTTTTTTGAAAGGTTTTTGCTATAGGGTGCATGCGCTCACCAGACAGACAGAGAGAGACATAGAGACAGAAAGCGAGAAACCACCCCCCAGGGGGAATGGTCACACCGCAATCCCTTCTCCTCCATTCTCCTCTCGGGATCTTGGGCACGCACACACACGCGCCCGGCGTGAGTTCTAAGCCACTGGGTCCGGGATGTGAACCCCGGTACCTCGGGGGGAATCCAGCGAAATAGCCATTACGCTAACTGCTTGTTCCCGAATTTTTTTAAGAATTATTTATTTATTATCTTTTTTTTTTTTTAATTTTGACCAGTGAGAGACACAGAGAGCGAGAGAGAGGGCAGAGCAAGAGCAAGCCGCCAGGTTCGGGACTCGAATCATGGTTGACCACGTGGGAGTCCAGTGCCTTTAACCACCACGCCACCCACCAGCCCTAATTTTTTCAAAATTATCTATCGATCTATCTATCTATTTAAATTTGACTAGAGGGACAGAGTGAGAGAAAATGAGAAAGCAAGCCACCAGGTCTAAGATTCAAACTGTTGTCAGCCATGTGGGAGTCCAGCACCCTTAACCACCACGCCACCTGCCGGCCCCTATACATTGACTTTTAGAGGCTTAGAGAACATTAAAATCTACGTTTTTAAGTCTTTAATGAAGTAGAGAGGGAAGTTGATCTGTTTGATGGGCCTGGGGCTGTCCCACCCTGCCTTGCTGCTCCCTCCTGCTGCCCCCAGTGTCAGCTTACCTACTGGTTCCCTCCCAGCTACAAGCCAGCCCCCTTCTCCGTACTGGATGAGATTGATGCTGCCTTGGATAACACCAACATTGGCAAGGTGGGTGCAAAGAAAATGGGGCCCAGGAGGGAGGCTCCGAGGTCGGGGTTGGGTTTCAGGGAGCAACTCCTGGGTGCACCTTAGCTATTCCCACCGCCCACTCTTTGTGCCCGGGAGGCTGGCCCAGGGCCATCCATGCCGTGGTAGTCAATAGCCTACTCTTAGCCTCTCTTTACCCTACCTTCCACCTCTACCTCACCCCATCTGTCTACTGATAATGACTGGGAAACACAGTATATTAGGGCTTAAGCTCTAAGTGCCCAGTGGCCCCTCCCACAGGTGGCAAATTACATCAAGGAGCAGTCCACCTGCAACTTCCAGGCCATCGTCATCTCTCTCAAGGAGGAGTTCTACACCAAGGCTGAGAGCCTCATTGGAGTCTATCCTGAGGTAGGGCAGGCTGGCTCAGGATCCAGCCCCACTCTCTGACTTCCCAGGACAGGAAGAGAAGGCTATAGTAGAGGGGCCAGAGGGTGGGAGAGCACAGTGACTCAGGTTTCCAAACAGCCATCTGGGCTCACTGGAGCCCTGTCTTGGAGGCTGGGCCAGCCCAGCCAGCCTACCCATTACATCTGGGGACAGATGGGAAGGCCAGGCAGAGGCAGCCAGATAGTGGAGAAAGGAGAAGAGTACAGAGGCAGGCAGGGAGAGAAGGCACATGGGAATGAGCACATCCTTTCATATCTTGAGAGAACCTTTGGGCTCTGGGCAGATATGTAGGAAGGAGGGTTTGAGGTCCCTGATCCTAGGGCACTAGAGCTGTCTTAATTCTCTCCTTACAATTTTATTTTTCTTTTTCTCCCTCCTCCTTCAGCAAGGGGACTGTGTGATCAGCAAAGTCCTGACCTTCGACCTTACCAAGTACCCAGATGCCAACCCCAACCCCAATGAGCAGTAGCAATAGTTTTGCCCTCTTGCCCTATCTGGATCCCTAAGCCTCCCCTCCCCCGTCTCTGGACATTTGGCTCCCACCTCCTCCCCTGCTTGGTATAGTCATGAGATTTAGGCCTGCTATCAAGCATGAAGAGGAACAGAGGTGACACTAGATCTGGAGCAAAAATGCCTGAGCTACAGGGAGCATCCTGGCCTGTGGAAGGTGCTGAGCTGAGCTGAACAGGGCCATCTGTCTACCCCACTCCCTGCTTCTTCTGTACCTTCCCATATCACCCATAATCACATGTCCCTTGCCCACTGTGTGCATGAGTATGTATGTGTGTATATGTGTGTTTACATGCATATGTGGGAGTGTGTTTGCAAAATAATAAAAGATATTAGAGACCTGTTTTAGAAGGAGCCTAGGCTGAACTTGATTTCAAGAAAGCTTAGGAAGACAGCATCCCAGAACTAGGCAAATGTACTTGGGACCTCATAGAAATCTTCAGCAGTCACCTGAAACTACCCTCATTCTCTCATTTGTGTCTTCATTTATTCATATATTCATCAAACACATACTGAGTACCCTCTTATTTGTCAGTTCCTATGCTTGGAATATAGAGTTGAATGAGACATGATCTCCATCCCCTTGCTAAAGAGGTAGAATGGTTTCATGAATTACTATGATTAGCTGAATGTCATATGTACTTTTAGATGACCTTCCTGAAGATCACATCTGAGCTGGACCATGGCAAATTGGTAGGATTTGGTTAGGCAGTTGGAACAAAGTGGGCTCTGGGGACACAGTTGTGGACTCTAGATCCACTTTTTAATCACTTACTAATTTGACCTTGGGCAAGTCATTTGACCTTTCTGTGCCTCAGTTTCCTCATCTGTAAAATGGGGCCAACAATAGTACCTACCTCGTAGGATTTAATGATGTCAGGCTCCTCACTAGAGGCCTTATTCCTGCTTGGAGCCCACTTGGTGCTGACCCCTCAGAATACAAACCTCCTCATGTTTGGACCTCTGAGGGCTTCTGATCCCATTGTTGGGAACAAAAGGAGCCTTCAGATCTGGGAGGTGCTGAGTGCCCTGGTTACTGGAAAAGTTCCAGGGCACCAGTGGGTTTTACCTGGTAGGCGGAGGGGCCAAGAAAGCCTGTAGCTTCAATCATGCATGAAAAGCAATGCCTGGGCCCCAACCTAGATTGCAAAGGACTGGGGGAGAGGTAGCCTGAGCTGCATCCCAGCCTAACACATGTGAGGTTCCTTTTGAGAACTAAATTAGGTGTAAGGACCATGAAGGGCAGCAAAGCCTAGTACGATTAATTCAGTCTTTACTTGCTCATATACACCATCAGACTTTTGTCTTACCCTGATCTTTATTATTACTTTTTGTATTTTAGATTTAAGTTCCAATTAAGTAGTGCATGAATTCATTCTTTTAAGAATTTAGATTGTTACAGATAAAAGAAGCCTCATTCAACTACATGCCACTCCCCCTTCCTGTTCCTTCCCCTCTTAGCTGGGATTATGTCTGTTGTACTTAGACTTTAATACTTTTACATACATATGTGAATCATTGACGATATTGCTGTGTGTGTTTAATACAAATGGAGAATTAAATTTTCCAAAATTCTCTTTCTCTGCTTAATAGTGTTTTTAAGATTTGTGCATGTTGTTAAATGTAGATTAGTCCATCCTCTAATTGCTGTATAGACTGCCATCATCTGAGTCTACATTTTATTTACTCATTTTTCTTGTGATGGACATTAAGACTATTTTCAGTTTCTGCTGTTAAAAAGTACTACACAGGAACACAACACACCGACGTCTGTGTAAAAGTGTATGTATATGAAAGTTTACCTAATGTCGATTCCTAGAAGTGGAGTTTCAGAACCATAGGATATTTAAATATGTATTTTCAATAGATACTTCCAAATTTCCCTCCTGTACTATTTACTCTTAGTATTTTTTTTAGGTGATCTGAGATCTAACATTGTTTTCTATATCAGTTTCATTGTAAGTAGTGATATTTGTGAAATCATTAGTTTGATGTGCTAATTTTGTATTTTTTTCTAATATATATTAAAAAGTATGAAAAAAATTTGTCTGTGTTCAACCAAAGAAGTTACATAGCACCAGTAGTACATGTGCCATACCTTGGCAAATGCTGGCATACATGGTAGAGCATAATTTGAGTGTCAGACTAGATTCAAATCCTAGATGTAGCAATTTGGTCAAGTTACTTCACCTCTGAGCCTCAGTTTCCTCATCTACAAAAGGAGATAATAAATATCCCTTGCAGTAGTGAAGGGGAAGATTAAATAAAATATGTTTGAAGCAGTTTGGCTGGCATCTAGATTATCATAGCCCCTCAAAAGTAGTGATTGCTCTTCTCACCTGACAGATGAGGAAAATGAGAACCAGAAATTATTAAGTGACCCACCTACCAGGTAAGAGTGTGGTTTTCAACCCAGATACACTGATTCTAGTGCTTTTTTTTACTATAAAAGTGGTTTATTAACCTTGGCTGTACATCAGAATCATTTGTGAAGATTTTTCTTTTACTATTTTAAAAATCAAAGCAATATATACACAAGAGAAAAAAAAAAACAGTACAGAAGGGTTTATAATGAAAAGCAGCAGTTCCTTGCTGCACCCCTACATCTGAAGGATGTAGAGCTCTGTAAAGATGAAATTGCTCTGGTCCTAGGGACCAGCAGTTGGCATAATAGCTATGTTGCTGGACTCCCATGTAGTCGACCACAGTTTGAGTCCTGGACCCAATGGCTTAAACTCACGCTGGGCGCATGTACATGCGTGCCCAAGATCCCAAGAGGAGAATGGAGGAGAAGGAATTGCAGTGTGGCCAACCCCCTTGGGGGTGATTTCTTGCTTTCCGTCTCTCTGTCTCTCTGTCTTTCTGGTGAGCGCACATGCCCTATAGCAAAAACCTCTCCAAAAAAAATTGCTCTGGTCTCACCTCTGAAAATATGGTTTCATTGGTGTGGATAATAACTCAGATAACCCCAACCTCACAGGATGGAAAGGATTACATAAGCTGCCTTGGGGCTGAGGCCCTGGCATGCAGGAAAACAAGTGCTACAAAGGAGCTTTGAGGACTTGAGTCCTGAGGATCAGGAAGGCAAGATGACTTGTCCAAGATTCCAGTGATTTAATGGCAGATCCTAGACCCCTACTCGCATCTCCTTAGTGCTTGCCCACTACTCTTCCTACCAGGCACCTGACTCCTGTTGTTACAAAGCAACATGTATGAATGCTGAAGGCTGGGACGGCAGGCACCATGGTGTGTTTCCAAGAGCAAGTCAATCAGTGGATTCTTCAGGGCTCAGGGGAACTAGGTTGACTCCTTTATACTTTGGACCCAGTAGCCTTGGCCCAGGAAGTTAGAGTACTTCATAGCACTATCTTCCTTTAATTTGACACTTCATCCTGAAAATACCTGTCATGAACTGAGAATGTAGATGAGTTAAGTCTTTTATCCTGCCTTTGAGGAACTCACCGTCTAGTTGAGGTAAGTGGTAAAACAGCCATTAACAGTACAGTGTGATCAGTACTCGGACAAGGAGCACAGGATGGGTATCTAACTTTGGTAGGACTCAGGGAAGGCATGCTTTAGTCTGTGGTGACTCCTGAACAGTTTGCAGGGACGGGTTGAAATTAGCCAGCTGAGGAAGTAGGAAGTTCTAGTTAGTGGAAACAATATGCACAAAAGCTGAAGGCAAGAAATAGCAAAGCAATTCAGAAGTAACTAAAGCATAAAGATCCCTGGGGTGGTGGAAGAACAGCAGAAAAGCCAGAAAATTAAGTGGCCGACTACAGGATTGAGATTTGTCGTGTGGGTTCCAAATAGGCTGAACACCAGAAAAACCTATGGCATCTGAGCCCCCACCTCTAAAAATTCAGTTTCTGTGAGCTTGAGATGGGGCCTCAGACTCTCGACTGCTTATAACAGTCATTGCATGACTGGAGTGCTGCCAGGTTTGGAAACCATATCTTGAAGCCAGTGAGGGAGCCATGAAAACCGTTTTAAGCAGGGAAAACACCAGATAAAATGTGAATTTAACACCTGTTTTTGGCTAACCAGCCAGTGTGGAAATGGATTAGGTTAGATGTCCATGTTATACAAGCCTGTGCCTATAGTTTCCCTGTTACTCAATATCTCACACTACTATATTTGCTTATTTTGTCTCTGAATAAGTTGTAATCATCACAAGGTTAGGCCTTAAGATATTTTGCTTATTGACATATCCTCTGCAAAAAGCAGTGCCTGATGTGAAACAGGCACCCAATAAAGGGTTTGAACAAATAAATTCATGAGCGAATGCATTTGTGAGGGAGGGAATGGAGACAGGGAGATTAGTTAGGAAACAATTGAAAAGACCAGGAAGCCTTCTCTAGGGAAAAGGCAGTAGGAATGGATTGGAGGTAATAAGTTGTTAGCTGTTAAAGGGAGATGATGTACGAGATTATTGTATATGAAGGGTGACTGAGAGGACAGAATGAGTACCCATGAATAGCCAAGATTCTTACCCTGTCCCAGTGTCTCCTTCCTTATCCATCTCTGAGTCAGAATCTCATTCCAGCCTCCTCAGCAACTGGAATTCTCCCTCAAATTTGTTAATCATTCTGTGTGCTGTGTGGTATTCCTCCAAACCCACTCTAGCCATCAATTAATTCATCCAGTTCAATAAATATTAACTAAGCACCTCCTATATGCAATGAGGGTCTTCCAAGCCAGGACTCCAACTCCTTTTCCTACCTCAAGAGATGTTCTTGAGGGCTTTCATAGGTGAGACTCATCCCTTATACAATAATATAGTGAGATGCCCAGAATATCAGACCAGTAAGAGAACTTAGAGCCTTTGCCCAACCCCCTCCTGCGGCCCTCAGAAGGGAATTAACTCCCAAGGTCCTACTGTTAGGAAGTATTGGAGCCAGAACTGTTCCATTTCTACATTGCCTCTAGAGTCTTGATCTTGATCAATCCCATTGCAGATCAGGGCAGACAGAGATGGTCAGAGAGAAGATGGGATTTAGGTTGAGCCTTGGAGGTCAAGGTACTGGACAGGTCAAACAAGATGCTTGCAAATTACACTGCCACCTTTTGGAAACCCTCAGCAAACCTGCCATGCCCTCAGTCCTTTCCAAGGGGTTCCTTTAGCATCATTTGCCATGCTCTGTACAATGTGACCTCATAATCCTAGCCACAGATGACTAGATTGGGATAGTATGTGACTCAAGGACAGCCAAGCTTTAGGCTGGCCAGTAGCCTATTATGAGGGGTTATATAAGAACACCTCGCTTCCTTTTGGCTGGAACCGCCATCTTCCGGTAATTAAACAGAATGACGAACACAAGGCAAAGAGGAGAAGCACCTGATATATATGTTCTCTAGACCCTTTAGAAAACATGGAGTGGTTCCTTTGGCAACATATATGTGAATCTACAAGAAAGATCAAGGACATGGGTACTTTTCAAAAAGGAATGCCCCACAAATGTTACCATAGCAAAACTGGAAGAGTCAACAATGTTACCCAGCATGCGTTGGCATTGTTGTAGATAAACAAGGGCAAGATTCTTGCCAAGAGAATTAATGTGCATATTGAGCATATTAAGCATTCTAAGAGCAGAGATAGCTTCCTAAAACTTGTGAAGGAAAATGACCGGAAAAAGAAGGAAGCCAAAGAGAAAAGTACCTGGATTCAGCTGTGGCATCAGCCTGCTCCACCCAGAGAAGCACACTTTGTGAGAACCAATGGAAAGGAGCCTGAGCTTCTGGAACCTATTCCCTATGAATTCATGGCATGATGGATGTTAAAAATAAACTAATCTATGGTCTATTTAAAAAAAAAAAAAAAAAGAGCTCCACCTCATGGGATGGCATGTATCAAATGACAAATTCATGAAACAATCAGACCTTCTTGGGCTGGGGGAGGGGGGCTGAATGTGAGGCATTCGGAAGTGAACAATTAGTTAGAATTTATTGAGGCAGAAATTGTGGATGAGGGGTGGCCAGAAACTAAATAGTCAAAGGAAAGAGAGTTGCAGGAATCATCAAGTCAGCAGAGGTCATGCAATATTTGAGTCATGAGACCGTGGGGCCACAAGGTAGCAGAAGTCAAGAAGAAGGCAACCGTGGGCCAAAAGGACACAGAAAGCCATGAAGCAATGGTAGCCACAATGTAGCAGGAGCCATGAGGAACAGAAACCATGTGACAAAACTGATTATGAGATCCTTGAAGTAGCAGAAGGCTTGACTAGACAAGATCCATGAGACAGCAGAAGTGTTAAGACTGCAAGTGCCACAAAATAGCCAGAACCATGTGACAACAAAGCAGCAGGAACCGAAGAGGCCACAGGAGTTACAAGGCAAGCAGAAGCTACAACACAGAGAGAAGCCTTGGATTGCTAGAAACAGAAGTCCCAAGAGCCATGAATCTGCAGGAGCCAGAAAGCCTAGAAGCTGTGAGGTAGCAAAAGCCATAGGCTAGCAGCAAGGGGAGCAGAAAGAAGTTAGTAACAGTAGGAGGAGTATAAATACAGCCAGAAAGTAGTTGAGTCACCATTTTGGGAAGCACTAGAAAAGGAGAAAAGGGAGCAACAGATGCCTGCAGCTGAGGGGGTGATAAGATAAACCAGGCTGTAGAGCCGCTTTGAATCATGAACCATTTTCAAGTTTCTGTTTTCTGAGGCTCCCTGTGTAGCTGTCTTGTATTCCTTATTTCCCTGTGACTGCTTTAATAAATCCCCATCACTAACCTGAGTGTCTCTGTTCCTTGTAATCTGAAAGAGATTAACACAAGTGTGCAGTATAGATGAGTGGAGAACCGGGCAGAAGGTCCTCCTGGTGGGTTTGAAGCAAGGCACAGAGGTGGGAATTCACTCATTCTTTCTCTTGTGCCCTCACCGGTGCAGACACTTGCCATTTATTTACTTTCTTGGCTTATTTTTCTCATTCATTCATCTACTTATCACTTATTCATGCATTAACTCAATTCATCCTCTTATTCAGTTCTATAGATGAGCATTAGTGTGAGCATTTACTCAGTCA